CTCATGAGTCTTTTATAATCCTTGATAGCTTCGTTGCCATCTTGCAACGACAAAATGTTGCAGGCTCCCACACTTTCTGATGAATATGTCTATTTTTCTTAGATAAAATATCTTGAATTTATACTGATAATTCTAATTAAAACCAGGACTACAGATTTTACTAAACACCTAACTCCTTTCTCTTTTGCTAACAACCCCAGTCCTAAGCAACAAATGGAATGACAGAATTAGAATATCACATTATATTATTCACTTGTCTTATCTCACAGTATTTTATCCCACATAACAATCTCAGAATAACAACACTAACACCGCCACCAACGTGATCATTCTTGACAGTCTAAGATGATTTTTGCCGTTCTTTTTTTTTAACTTTAGGATATATCCTGTAAGAAAGGTACACATTATTTTTATAACAATAATAGTACTTTGTGCTATTATGGTACCAATTGGATATATATTTAAGGTACACTTGTTTATTTCTTAAAAGATTGTTTTAATTTATAATTTTTAAAGAATATTTAAATGACTCCAAATTAAAATCAACAAAACATGGTATACACAAAGACTGTAGTTTCTAACATTATCCCCTCCTTGTCCCTCCTATTGGTAAAAATTTTTTATTGTAGTTAAAACTTCAGTTTTTAAAAAATATAAACTGGTGTGTGCATGTGTGTGCGTGTGTGTGCGTGTGTGTGTGTGTGTGTGTAGCCTTACCTTTAAACAGTAACACTTTTCTCTAGTTTGCTTTTCTCAGTTAACAATGTGTTCTAGAGTAGTAGCTAGCTATATCATATCCATTGTATGGATATACCATAGATTTTTAAACAATCCCTTACTGATTTCAATTGTTTTCTAATTTTTGCTATTACAAATAAATTAAATTGCTAGGTCAAAGCACAAAAGCAATTTAGCCAGTTATTAACAAAATTTAGCTCCATACGGACTAATCTAAACTGACCACCAGGAATGTATGAGTGTTGGTTTCCCCAAAATTCTGTCAACAAAATATGTTGTCAAATCTATAGGTGAGAAATATACTTTATATAATACTTTGAAATTTAAAGTATACTCCATATACTTTACATTTTCTTATTATGAGTGAGGTTGAGCATCTTTTCACATGGCTAAGAATCATTTGCATTTTTCTTATGCACTTTGTTTCTGTAGAGTTGTTGGTCTTTTTTATTCTCTATTTAAGAAACAAATCAACATTTTTAATTAAAATACTACAGTTCAACGCTCTTATAACTTCTCAGATTACATTTTTCTTTAAGAAAGTAGTGAGTAGCACTACATATTCCAAATGCAGTCATAAGCAGCACTAAGCCTGAGAGAAAAAACACTGGGTATGAGTCATCTAAAAAACAAATTCTGCACCTTAGATCAAGGCATCATTGAGAATTGTTTCTTTCCTGCCCATAAAGTTGTCATCTCCAATTGACTTTTTTCATTATCCTCAATCTCTTAGTAATGGCTAATAGGACTCTATATACATAACTTGTTTAAACTGACTTTTGTGTGGCAAACTGCCTTGGTTCTTTAAACCAAGCTACCCCAAATTTTTTGGAAAATGGCAGGACTTTTAAATAAAAGTCAAAATTAAGTTACTTACCCTTTCCTGCTCTTTCCTAGACTATAACATGCAGTTGAAGAAAATGATTCCTACATTTTCTACTCTTTTAGACTAGTGTAAAATCATCTGGTCTTACATCACTTCCTTTTCAAAAACCTAGTCATCTATACTCAAACTGCCTTTAAGTAATTTTTCCAAATTCATCCCAAAATGTTTTCCACTCATTATCCATTAAACTTCATGATTTTTTCCCCTTTTTCGATATCACTGTCTCAGACTGTAGGCTCTAAACCAGGATTATCTGGGAGCTTAGAAATGCTCATTCTTGGGCTCTGTCCTGGACCAATAAACTGCGGCTGAGGCCCAGCATCATGTTTAATAAGCATTCACCCCCACCCCCCAACACACCCCAGTGACTGATGCATGCTCAAAGTTTGAGAAAGCAGTGACAGACTAACCTTTCCCACAATTCTTGGAATGCCCTTGCTAAAAGGGCACTTTATAATATCAAAGTTAATTTCTAGATATTTTTCTCATGTATATCGTCTCAAGTAGACTACAAAGAATGTCTTCAACTTTTATCCTATCAAACCTAGCATGGTTCTAATTGTGTTCCCAAGTTTTCATATGTAGCTTGATTTGTTGCTTTGAAATAGCTCAATAAAGATTTATATACTTTATTTTTTCCAGGAAAATATTTCATGAAAGCAGTCTGAATGAACAGACAGGAAAACAAAGTTTCCGTTTGGCTCGAGACTATTATTTCAAACTTGTTGTTTTAGGGCACCATACTGGGGAAATGTCGATAAAGCTTATAGTAGGTTCATAGATTGATTTAAAAGTTACTTAATTTTTTCCAGATTTGCTTTAAACTTACAAATTAAGTATGGTGTACATAAATATTAACTTAGATAACCACATACTATAAGGAATCTGTGGATGTTACCATATGTGACAAAAAAAAAGTTTGCAGATGTGATTAAGGATTGGAAATGAGGGCACTATCCTGATCATCCAGGTGAACCCAGTGTCCTTCTAAGAGGGAGCAGAGGGCGATACTACAACTGAAGAGAGGAGAGCATATGACAAATGGAGGCAGAGACTTCAAGATGCTAAACTTTTGGCTATTAAGACAGAGGAAAGGGCAAAGAGCCACAGGATGCAAGGGATGTAACCCAGAAGCTGGAAAAGGAAAAGAAAAGGATTCTCCACTAGAACTTCCAGATGGAACCAGTCCTGTCAAAACCTTTAGCCAGTGAAACTGATTTTGGACTTCTGGCCTCCAGAACCATAAGAGAATTCATCTGTGCTGTTTTAAGCCACTAAGTTTGAGGTAATTTGTCATAGCAGCAATAGGAAACTAATACAAAGCTTTTGACAAGTTTTATTGTGAAATACTGGATTTAGAAAAAGGTACAAAATGTCAACAGTCAGATGTGTACAAGTACAGTATTTCAAGTCTATACATGTGAACAGCTTAACAGGTTCACCTTAGAATGCATATTTAGAACAATACAATCTAAAAAGGACTGTAATATTCACAGGCTATTAATACATAAATAACGTGAGCCAAATGACCCCCACACTGGTAAATGCTAATAGCTGAAAACAGGCTAAAAAGCACAATACGGCACACCATAGTATCTCCTTACAGGTCCACATTTAAAGAATATCAGCTCATTATGTCAATACACTATAGATCCAGGACTGGGACTCAATTGCTAGTTTATACGTTGCAAAAAAAATTAAGTTATACTATAAGGTCATGAAATAAAGAGAGGGCATTTAATTAGTGCTAAATACTGTGAAGTCCCTAAAAGATTTTAGCAAAGCTTTATTATTTAGACTGATTTCCACTTTTCAATCTGTTAGCTAAAAAAGTGGGAAGAGGCACCTTTCTTTCGCAGCAGCTCCGAAAAGGTGTTAAGAACTATTACACAGCTTATTTTAAAACATAACAACCACTGTGGATCCACAAATACTATGAAACCAGAATATAAAACATTAAAATTTTAAAGAAAGGTAATGACTATTTTACGAATTTAGCAAATCCTGCAAACATTAAAATCCGTGTTAAGAAGGCAGTATCTAGCATTGTTGAAGTACTAAATTTAGGAAGATCATTACATGAAGATCTCAAAAAAAATAAACTGGTTTATATTTTGCAAGTCTTACTGATTCAGTCTTTTGCTATCACTTGAAAATTACTCTGTTTTCAAATTTAACAAAGATTTAACATTACTTTATAATGAACCATAGGAATAACCTGAAACGAGTCACAATTGCAATCATAGTATGTTCTGAGAAAAGATGACCTTTGATGATATTCATAATCAATGCTTGTTTAAAAACAAAATCTTCCAAAACTGATAAATTTAATAATCAAGTTTACTTCAAATTTACTTTTGCTCATAAATTCCTAAGAAAAAAAACTCTTCCACTCTATCCAGAATATCTAGTGATACCTGATGCTTTAAATTTCAACTAAAAATCTGAACTGGCATATATTAAGTAGGAGATCAATTCCATTATAGGCTGAAAACCAATGGATCAGAATATAATTAGTCAATAACTTCCCACAACCTATCCCACCCTCCTTAACCTTTTATAAACAATTTTAAAGACTCTTATATAATTTTCTTATAAATAGTACCTGAATCTTAAACAATAGATTCCAATTTATTCAAAGATAGTCACAGGTTGATTTAAAAGTTATTTAATTTTTTCCAGATTTGCTTTAAACTTACAAAGTAAGTATGGTGTATATAAATATTAACTTAGATAACCACATATTATAAAAAAAAAAAAAAAAAAAGCAGATATATGGACCACTGCAGAAAAATTATAAATTTTTAAAATTTTTATAAAAGAAAAATAAAAAAAAAACATGTAACTTACAAAATATGAACATGAAGCCATATCACATAAAAATAAAATTACTCTATCAGAAGTAATTTAAAATTAAATCTTTGGGGAAGTATTTTGACATAATTCAATGAATTCAATGACCAACAGCTTCCCATATTACACAGAAACAAACCACAAAATCATCTAAAGTCTATATGCATTATCAGTTCTTAATGCAACCTCAAACATTTTACTAGCAACTTTGATTTCCTTTTGAAATAGGCTTCTGTACATATGCATTTATATACAAACATTTATTAAACATGATTTTAAAACAAACTATGTACAAAAGATCAGCATTCCTATAAATAAAAACATTAGGTGGCAAAAAGGCACTTGTAAGTAAAAATCCACAGTTTTTACAAAACAAAACACATTTTACCTTGGATACTGTACAATAAACATTAATTCCTATAACCAATAATGAAAATACTAGTTTACTAACTAATGTTAATTATGTAAATTTAAAAAACATATTTACATATTTTTTGAAGTTCATTTAATAAAAGCACCATGATTCTCTCCTAAATTGATGTTGATGCAAAATGAAAACATTACCAAAAACCAGTGTTCACAATTGTCCTTGTTTAAAAGATTTTGTATTTCTAAATTGAAAACTGTTTATCTGAAATTAGCATGGTGTAAAACAATAATCAAAACAAAAACCCTGCTGCTCTGATTTAAAACCATACCTACTCTATTATTGCATGTTGCATTTTATAAAAAGAACTACTCATGCGCTCCTTTACAACCGTTTAATACTATTGCTGGCAGAAAAGTTCCTGGATATCAAATAATTAAAAAGTTACTTCAAACCAGTTGAAGTTTTATTTGAATGTTTTACAACTTAAAAAATGTTGTATATCAGTTACAAAAGTGAATAGGAAACACGCCAATTCATTTGGTGTGCAAAAATATTTTTCCACTACACAGAATTTAAGGGCTTCACTGAATTTCTTTCAAATTTACATTTCAGCAGAAACACTAAATCAATGACTTTTTCAAGGGGATGTTAGTATGCTTCCACTTTTGTCAAACTTTTTACCCTTTGACAATGCTGCAACCTGTTTGAGTAGTTCTCTGTTTTTGGCCTGTAGGAGACAAAAACATTTAAATATTTAAGATTAACAATATTTGAAATATTAAGTCATGCTGAAGAATACTAACTACTTACTTATTTTCACTTACAGTACAAGATTTCATTGAAACACTAACAAAATTAAATAAAAGAGTGTATTTAGGTTCATCTCTTTAACTATGGATATATAGATGGAAAATTCTAGACTGGTTTATAAATGTCATTTTAATATAACTGTTGTCCAAGGATATAACTGTTTACAAAAAAAAAAAGGCAACTTAAAGTGAATCTGCTTAAAATAGGGTAAAATTTTTAAATAGAAAAAAAGTTTGGTTCTTTGTCCTAAAAATATGAAAACTATAAAAATGTCTTATTTTATAATGAGTAAGATCAAATGACAGGTGATAATCTGGGAGGCACATTTCTCTACAACTGTACAGTCTTTCATTTGATGTTCATCTATTTATAGAACAAGCATAAGTCCTTTTTGCAAAACGTTGACTTGATCACTTTGCCACAAGGACATTCTTAACTCAATGATATTTAAATTTTTTTTAAAGCACCCATCAGAAATGCCCTTTCTGATCTTTTAATTTCAATACGGTCATTTTGTATTGGCTTTGATATCATTTGAGCAGTTATGTCATCATTTTTAGTTTCATGAAAGGCTGAAATTTTTTCCAAAGATTCAGAATTTCACTTTGTCATCTATTTAAACTGAATTTGCACTTCATTCAAATGTTCTATCCACCACTGACAAAGACACTATCCTTGAGCCAATGTGTTGTGACTATCACTAGTGTTTAGTGAGGAGGGACGTGTAAGTACAAACCCTCAGTATTCAGAATATTTTATTTTGACTGCCTGTCTCCCAGTGCAACCTCTTAACTGTGGAAATGTAAATAATAAGGACCTTCCATATATACAAGTACATTAATGATCAAATACTTTTGGAGTTTTTGAGCCAAGATAGAGAGTGTGTCAATATTTTGAAATCTGAGCACTGCCCTAAAATAACAAAATTGTAAACATATGCTTCGGCTTCTATTTCAATACCATTCTTCACAGGTCTCGAGATTTTTTATTATTTAGACAGACTTTTTTTAAACCTCAGTGCTTCATCTTCTCCAATTGTAGCCTTTCTATGGCAATATAACAACAACCTGCCTTCTCTGCATACCATCTCAAAAACTGTTTCATGAAACAGAAACCTTTGCAGGCTTTGTATTTTCACTCCCCCACTCTTTTCCAATCAAACTCTCCCTAATTAATACCCATGACCTCCAAAATGCAAATATTCTTAGAACAATCTTATATTTATAAGCCAAAAGTCTTTTATGTTCAACCACATGATTAACAGTATTTCTCTTTTCTTCGCTGTTAAATAATTAAGGTGGTAATTTAGAGTTTCAATTTCAATTTCAAATACAGAAAACCGTCAAGAATTTAAAAGGATTTTTATTTTCCCTTTAAAACTAAACAGTTTGAGAAATTCAGAGGACAAATCATTAAGAATGCCTGACAGTTAGTGGAAATCAAGTGAGCATACTCATGATCAACTGGTTTATTACTCAGCTGACCAGTCCTAGTCAATGTGGTAGTTTTGAATTGTTTTCTTTCTTTTTAAAAATTAAATTTACTGAGGTGATAGTGGTTAATACAATTATTATATAGGTTTCAGGTGTACAATCACAATTCTATTTACATCGTCTGAATACTACATTGTATGTTCACCAACCAAAGTCAAATCTCTTTCCATCAGCATATATTTGACCTCCTTTACTCTTTACTACCTCTCTCCCAACCCCTATCCCTCTGGTAACCATCATATTGTTGTGTCTGTGAGTTGTTGTTTATCTTTTTTGTTCATTTGTTGCTTTTAGTTTTATATCTCACATACAAGTAAAATCATATGGTTCCTGACTTATTCCATCTGACTTATTTCCTTAGCATATTTTCAAGATCCATCATGTTGTTGCAAATGGCAGTATTATTTTTGGTGTTTGCTATCGATCACTTAATGTATAACTATAATAGACTTCCTGGCTAATAGAAAGTATCTTAAAAAACTTTGACATACAAACTTATGAAGAACATTAAAAAGGATATGTCGCAAATCTGCTTCAAAGAGATCCCCATCAGATCTGTAAGTTATATTTATACAAAAGCATTCGACATATCAAATTATTAAAAAGTTAATCTTCAAATGTTTTCTCAACTATCACTAAGAAATAAACAAACACCCCTGGCCAGTTTGGCTCAGCAGTTCGAGCTTCGGCCTGTGGACCAATGAGTGGTGGGTTCAATTTCTGTCAAGGGCATGTGCCTCGATTGCGGTTTGGCCCTGGCTCTGGTTGGGTCGTGTGGAGGCAACCAGTCAATGTGTCTCTCTCATGTCTATGTTTTTCTCTCTACCTCCCTCCCACTCCGTCTGATGACAAAAGAAAGAATATCCTCAAGTGAGAATTAAAAAAAAAAAAAAATTAACAAACAAAAAAATGAGTTTATAATTTTATGTTCTATGAAACACCAGCACTCAGATATTTGGTAATGAAAGCAATTTCTTCTTTTAATTCTTTAGCAGCTAATTTTTTCAATCTGTATTTATATATTTGGTCTCCTAATCATGTGACTAATAAATTCACTTAACGATAAATTATGTAAAAAAAAAAGGCTTTAAGAAAATAAACAGTGCATCAGTTGTTAAATGGAGACAAGTCCAAAACTGTCGATAAAAATGTATTTTATAATGTAATACTTAACTATAAGTACATTAAAAAAAGCTTTATGCTAATATTATTTTATTATGCACCCTCAAAAATCCATTAAATTATTTAAAAACTCTTAAGCAAACTAAGTTAAAAATGTCTAGAAATGCTGGCCTAAAGAAAATAATTATCTGGATTAAAAACCACACATATCCTGTTTTGAATCCTGGCTCTGCTACTTACCTGCTATGTAACCTGGAGTCTATTTTGTCACATGTAAACAAACTCCACCCCCCATAACAGGAGTTGAAAAAACTAATCAAACATATAAAACACTTAGCCAAACAGAGTAGCTCGTATATAGTAGGCACTCAAATGTTAGTACCCTTTCCTCTTTTATCAACTTATCTGCAAAAGTAGCTTTTTAAATTTGGTATTATTAATATTTTAGGTAATTTAATTTTGGGGGCGGGGTTGGTATTTTGTGCAATTTTTTCTTGGGATGCGTAATACCTCCCCCCCTCCACCTCAAGTTTATTGTCACAAGTGTTTTGAGAGCTATTAGAGCAAGGTAAATTTCCTGCTACAGGGTTCAGATTCTTATCCCAAAAGGTAAGACAAATAGTTAACTCTGTTTACTCACCTACTAGTACATTATTGCTAAAGGGAGTGGGGTTAAAAGAGGGTACTTAACTGTAATAGAATGTCTTCAGCAATAACACAAAAGATACAGGAAAGTGGTCTGATAATAAGGATGAAACAGAAAACATAAATAATGAGGTGGTAGGAAAAGTGTGGAACAGGAGAAAGTACAGTCAAATCAGAGTCAGAAGACGTAGGTTTCTATGTCACTTTGGACTAATTATGTGAACACAGTTTCATACCACATAACTCAAAGTTACCCTAAGAAGCAAATAAGACAGCCTATGTAAAATCATACTGAAAATGTCATACTTCTACATAAATATTAGTCACTATTCTATCATATGAAAATTTAGCTATCAATCAAGAGGTAGACTTAAGATGCCAATCAGGCTAAGATGTCAGACGTTCCCCTGAGCTTACACTAAAAAATAAAACAATAAACTGCTCTTTTGAACAGTGAGAAGTACTAAGTTTTATCATGTTTAAGTATTGCTCACAGTTCTTCTGTTATTTCATACTGGATTTACTCCAGAGTTTATGTTATACCACATTAAATCAGAGATCATCATACAGAAGATTTTGTTCCCAGGTAATCATTCAGCATTAATAACTGAATGAGAAAAATAAGAATATCATAAAACTAATAACTTGCTGGTAGATGATAAATAATGTAAAAGAAACCCAATATATGAGCAATCTCTCAGGACAGAGAGAAAAGGGCAGTTCCACATATCACCACTCATTCAACAAATTATCTGAATGTCTATGTGCCAGGTTCTATGTAAAGTTTCTCTTCAAATTCTTTGTAATAGAACAAAGAATTAAGAGTTAAGAGTAGACAGCATTAAGAGTAGGCAACTTATACTTAGAATTTCAACGGTTCCTAAATATACTTCTAATCTTACTCAGTTTAAGCTACTTTTAAAGAAGTATGACGAATACAAAGCCAAAAGATGGTGTTTCATTTTTTAAAAAACAAAAACAAAAACAGGGCCATATCTATCCATCCCAAATTACACTGTCCCACCAAGAGTTTAAAGTTTGTGTGCTGGCATCTTCCACGTTTTTAAAATTTCTGAAAACCCTGTTACCCATAGATTAATTCTACAAACATAAGAGAATAAATCAATAGAATATGTAGTTAACTTAATGTGGTCTAATTTCTAAATTTATCAAACTTAAGTGAGAAAAAACTTGAATACTCTCCATTTCTGTGTGCAAGATATCAGATACTACCTTCTTTGTAACTGTCGTGACTCCTGGCTTTACCATTCAGTTGTTCTCTGTACTAAAATTCTACTGGGTAGATATTCTTGGCAATACTCTGAGGTTGACCTAGATGCCTTACATCACTGCAAAAAACAGTATAAATTTCCTCCACTTGAGGTCCTCAAAAATGTGTTTTCTACACCCATCTCCCTTCCCATTATCTGGGAGGAAATATAACAATTGCACAATGCACCTGAGACCTTGTTTTCAAAAATCTTTTTAATTGCTTTTCAACAATCAACTGAACACACTTCAATGACATCCTTCTCTAAAAACATCATTTGACGCCCTGGCCGGTTTGGCTCAGCGGTTAGAGCATTGGCCTGCGGTCCAGAGAGACCTGGGTTCGGTTCCCGCTAAGGGCACGTACCTCGGTTGCAGTTTGTCCCCGGCCCTGGTTGGTCGTGCGGGTGGCAGCCACTCGATGTGTCCCTTTCACATCGATGTTTCTCTCTCTCTCCCTCCCTCCCCCCCTCCCTCCTGCACTGTCTAAAGAATGGAAAAATGCCCTCCGGTGAGGATAAAAATAAATAAAAACTTCATTTGAAGTTTAGGCAGAGGTTTTCATAATTAATATACTGAATCGCCTATAGTGATTTCAAGCAATAACTTTTAATGGGAGCAGGATTAATAATTATTGTCAAGTCTAAATCAAAGCTGAAAATACTCCAAATATGCATAAAATAGGGAAATCAATACCAATCTAAGACAATGAATACTATTAACAAAGTGTAGCCTTCCTTGCCTAATAGTTTACATTAATAAGGTCACTTACCTGAAGTTGTTCCACAGTTTCTTTGTGAGCTTTTTCCATACTGTTCATCTTTGTTCTCAAGTTTGACTCTTGGTACTGAAAGTCTGCCTTTAGTTCAGTTAACTGATTAAAAAAAAAAAACAACCAAAACCACCATATATATGTATATGTGTGTGTATATAAATGCACATACACAAACAGATCATTTAAAATAGTGTTTACAAAAAACTCACAATTCATTATAAAAATGAAAGATGTTAACAGTGGTTTCCTGAGTTTTAATAACTTATCTAAAATTTCTGTTTTGTGAAATGATGAATTCTATCTACTTCAGTACAATTTTAATGTTAAGATAATATGGAACCATCAGTAAAACTTTTGAGAAGTTGCCTTTTTGTTTCTATTTAAAGAGCTTCACTGGACAGTTTGGCAACTGGTATGCCAACAGGAAAGCCTAAAGGCTAACACCTTGAAAATGCTTCAATTAAAGTGTACTTTATGTTATATATAAACAAAGTAAACAATAAAACTGGTTTGAAGTTAAAACAACCTTTTCATGATTAAGAAAAAAGTTTCACACAAGGCAAGTACAAATAGAAACGATCTTATGAACCAAGATCTATATTGCTTTCATTTGAAAATATATGATAGAATTATGTGTCCAATTCCAACTAAGATTTGAGGTAAAAATGGAGAACAAAGCACAGAAATATAACTAGTAAGTAATAACAAAAAGGAAAAAGGGTTAATTTAAAATTTGTGTTAAATTAGACGAATGTAAGAAAAAAAGCACAATTTTTCATCTATATCAATGACACGCAAAAATAGAAAATCTCATGATTTATACTAAAAAATAAGTTGGCATTATGTAATTTCACTATCAGAATCATACATAAGAAAGCTTCTGGTTAGTTTTACATGATTTTTACTATGTAAGCTTTAAATGTCTGCAGGGTTTTTTTTATGTAATTATCTAGTAGCTAGTAAACTGAAAGATGTACAACAGCAAAAAGAAAAGAAGGCATGGTGTCTTATATTCTTATTTTCTGAATAAAAGCCAAAGCTTTTGTCAAATTCAAATAGCTGAATTCTCCCTTTTCTATCTACAGTACAAAAGAATTCCTGTTCCAAAATGCCAATTCACATCAGATCAGCTAAGATAATTATTCTCGTTACTATACTGTGAGTTGCCTTCAGATTATGAATTTCTGAAACATAAGCATGTTTCTAATTCATTCATCTTTGTATCCTGATGATCTAATATGTGGTTGGCTCTAGAAGTCACTAAATAAAGTAAAATAAATTCAAGAAAATAACTTGGTTGTCTTAGATTTACATTATAGGAAAAACTGCAAATGTGTAGCTATTTTAGGCTTACAATTATTACTTTCCGTATAACACTGCTAATTTCCATACCCATTAGCGTTTTTTTAAGAAAAAAGGAACTCTACAAAAGCAGAAAACTCAACCAAATGCACTGATATAGAATAGTTATGCTAGAAAAAGGATCTAAAAAAGGAAAAATTCCACAATTCATTACTACTTGGTTTTGGAATCATTATTATAGTAAAACTTATTGTTTTATTCAACTTTTAATCTAGGTTATTACAGATATACCCATCTTAAGTGCAAAAGAAGTGTCTTTAAAATTTTGTGCATGAAACAAATTTCCATAAAAGTTCATTAATTTAAAAAATCTTGCAGTTAATAAAAAATAACCCAAAAAAATAAGACACATATAACTATCCTATTTTTATCTTATCTCAATCCTAAGCTTCCTATATTGAATTTGCTTCAAGTAAAGTACAAATGTATTAAAGTAAATTTAAATCCGCTAAACCATGAAGGCGTGAGAAAATTTAACATAAAAGTTATTGAATACCAGAGGCAAAAGCTAGCTCAGACTGAAGCACTACTATAGATACTCGGAAACAGGTAATTCATGTAGTATTTATAATCATGTCTTGTTTATAATTTTAAAATGAATGTTTTAATGTTTTCCTATTCCATGTCTGAAATAGATCAAACTAATCTAGGATCATAAAACAAGTACAAAAGTAAGTTTTACCCTCAAAGATGACCATACAATAATAGCAGCTATGAGTACTTACACATGCTAGTTGTAATAAGTACTTTACAATTTCATTTAATCATAGCAACCATCCCACGAGATGGCATTAATACTCTCATTTTTATTTTATTTTCAAAAATGTTTTTCATTGAACCCTGACCAGTTTGGCTCAGCAGCAGAGCATCGGCCCGTGAACCAATGAGTCATGGGTTCAATTCTGGCTAAGAACATATACCTTGGTTTTGGTTCATTCCCGGTCCTGGTCGGGGTCATGCAGGAGCCAACAAATCGATGTGTCACTCTCACACTGATGTTTCTCTCTCTCTCCTTTCCTCTCCCTCCCACTCTATCTGAAGATAAATAGAAAAATATCCTCAGGTGAGGATAAAAAAAAAAAGTTTTTCATTGATTTCAGAGAGGAAGAGAAACACAGATCGGCTGCTTCCTGCACGCCCCCTGCTGGAGATCAACACCTAATGCTAATCACTGACAAAATAGGAAATTTCCACAGCATTGCCTGTCACGTTATTTGATCTCAACTAAAATAAATACATGATTGGTATATCAATGACTATATTCAATTGCTGTCTTAAATCATAAGAATTTACATAATATACTGTTTACATCTCATTTTCAAATTAAGACATTAGACCTACTTTACATTGCAGGCTTATTAAAAACTAATGTTCAGAAATTATTATAATTCTAGCTCTCAATTAACTCTTAGAACAAAAACTCTGAAAGACTATTTTACCTATCTCCATTAGATGGCTTAGGTTCCAATTTGGGCTTTTGTAGTATCTTACAAGAATCATGCACAACAAATATTACCAAATTATTACAGAAAATCTAAAAAAATTTGCAAAAGTCAAAATTTAAATCTTACCAGGCTTCAGTGAACCATGTTCTTACCTTTTTATCTTTTTCTAAAATGGTCTGGTCTCTCTGCTGTAAGAGACGTTTAAGTGACATCACTTCTTCTTTCAGTTGACTTATAAGGACAAAATTGTCTGTTCCCCCACTATCTGCTGACTGATTTATAGAGCTACTAAAAAGAAAAAAGTAAAACACAGTTAAATGAAGTAGAAGGAAAATTAGCAGGTGCTCAAATTGCATAAATTAGACAATTCCACAAACATCCTTAAGGCTAATGCAAAAAAATATGTACCTGACAGAAATGGATGCAACTGGCAAATTACCTTACTAATGGCACACATTACATACACCTGCAGAAATATAATTCAGTATTAGCTTTTAGGGGGTCAATACTTCTAGTGTAAAGCAATAGGCAGCCAATTTGTACAGTAACATCAGCAAACTTTTGGCTAATGAACTAAAACAAAGTCACGCTCATAATACTTTAAATCTAAAAACATTTTTCCAAGCAGGTCAATTTAAAATATCACAATCAGATTTGTGTTTCATTGAAGAATAATTAAGATAAAAAGAATGTTCTCTATTCAGATTTGTTTTCAAAACCCAAATTTATTTCCCAAATAGAACAACATAGTTCAGTGCCACTCTTATTGCCAAAATTAAGTTCAAAAAAATTTTAACTGATTATGTTTACTCTTCTGGATGACTCAAAGAAGTCAATGTAGAAGATATACATGTTTCTATTCTTTCACCTAGTAATAACTGGCAATCAACCAATACTGTTCAACTAAGTTGAATTTTCGCTAAAAGAATTCATTTTTACCTATCTCCATTAGATGGCTTAGATTCCAATTTGGGCTTTTTCTTTGGAGTTTCATTCTGAATTGCTGCGGAGGATTTATGGCTGAAACCAAACATTAATAAGAATAATTAGAGTAAAAAGGGCTGAGGTACCAACTGATAATTCTCTTCCCCTAAAACATTATAAAACATTGTTGATTTTTTAGAAGCCTAAGTAATAAGGTTAAAGGGATATCACATTTAAAAAATACTTTTCAAAATACTTAAGAAAATATTTTAACATATTTACCTCTGTTTCCACAGTCCCTGCTCTTGTTCTGGACTCAGATTGCTGATTCTGAAAAAAATATAAATGACATCTATAACAACACTATTTAGTACATCTACATTTAACAGCATTATTCTTCCCAATGAAACTGCATTACATATGTTCATTATAATCTTTTGTTCACAGAAAGGCATATCCAATTAAGTTTTCAGAGTAAGCAAATACATATTGACTAAATCTCATTCTAATAATAATAAGATATATTTTAATCAGATGATTACAAGCCATCTTAAGTTCTTCAAAAAGGATACAAAGATAGGGACTGAATTTTATTTTAATGAGGACCTCCACCAAATTCAATTTAACCATGAAACACAACAGGGTTCTGTAATTATAAAGTCTGAGAATCATCATACTTAGGTTGCCCTAATTCAGATAGATGTTCTACCTTTAGAGTCAAGGCCTTTCTAATAATCATGCATAAAGATTCTTACTTTGCAATAACTTAAGTTGTTTGAAATAGTGCATCAAGTTGAACAAGGAAATACCTTAACTTCTTTGTTTCTTTCCTACTTTTCCTATGAACTCTCCCCAAAGTCTCTAGATCTTTCTTTCGTCAGTACTCTGAAGAAGTCATGCTGAAAATATTGGGAAATGTCATGGTAACATCTGATTTAACTTTTACTTATAATTACTACTTACTACTTCTCTTTCATTATACCATAATATCAATACAACGACTTTATAATGCACTATGAATCCTACAAACTCCCCCTGTACTTGCACATTAGCCAATTCTTCATTAACCCCTAGTTTACTGACTTAACATGTACAGAGCATCTCCTATACAACCTTATCTATAAAATAGGTATAATATATGAGGATTAAATGAGTCATGTATGCACAAATACAGTGGAAGAACACATAACAACTAGAAATATATACATAAATGTGTACATATAAAATTTTCTATTGTTTTGGCTATAGGAGATTTTTTAAAGCAAAAGTATAAAACAAATCATGTTCTTAAAAATCACTTCTAAGTAAATACCAAGTTGGGGAATTAATTCTTCTGAGTTTTTCTTTACTTGTGGCAATGTATGGCACCCTACTAAGGAATTCAGCTTCCATTTTGTTTCTTTCAAAAATTTCATCAGAGAATTAGCAAACCATAGTTGCACATAAATTAATAGCACTATCCAGATTTCAAAGTGAGAACAAACACATTAATAACAATTAAACACAGACATTTAGTATTGTCATCTTCACTTTCTGAGGTGGCCATTCCTGGATGCAGACAGACCAGAATTTCTTCCCTTCCCCTCCTCCTTCACTGTATATCAGAACATATGTGCTCCTCATAATCGTTCTAATCTACTGAACTTAAGAGGACCCCACAAACTGGTTAACGACATGTCAAAATCTATATCCATCAAATATAAAACAGTATTCATATGTAAGTAATCAAAGGGAAAAAGTCAATACCATCCCCTTTCCCTTTACTTTTGAAATCTGCCATTTTTAAAGATTAATTTCCTGTCACAATTTAATCTTTCCAAACATCCTGTGACTGTGTCCTTTCACATCACACTAAGACAAATTTATCTGTAAAGAACAAGAAGAAGGGACCTTTCACCTGAGTCTAGGAGTAGGTCTGCCAAATACCATTTGTCATATTTTTTATTAAAGCAAAAACAAGCAAGATATATGTTCCTTTGCTCCTTAGGATACTCTGATATAAAGACCACAAGATTTTTTCAAAACAGCCAGATTAGAAGTCACTATTTGGTCTATCAATGTTACATCCAGAAAATACAAAACGGTAAGGCAAGTGGGAAAAATTGCTCCCAAAGTAAACAACATCAGTGCCTCAATAACACCCCATAATCTAATATGTGCTTGCCTTGATTTAAAATCAAATTTTAGCCCTGGCCAGTTTGGCTCAGCAGTTGGAGTGTCGGCCTGCGGACCAGAGTCCTGGGTTCGGTTCCCGCTAGGGGCACGTACCAAAAAAATAAATAAATAATTAGTTTTAATTAGAACTGTATTGTATTCCCAAAATATCACTAACTGTATTCCTAACTGTGGTAGGCATCAGTTTTCTGTAAATAAAATTATGTTTTACCTATCTAGAACTTTAAAGACTCATAGAGAAATTTGGGGGAAAATAGTGAATTCTTCTAAAAATCTGTGTGTATCATGTTCCTGTATTCCCTATCTAAATTTGTGTATTTCAATATTCTTGATTTTTACCTGATGACTAAAACCACACTTAAAAACCTTTATACACTCTGGCTGGTGTGGTTCAGTGGTTAGAGCATCAGCCTGAGGACCAAAGGGTCTTTGGGTTAAATTACAGTCAAGGGCACATACTTGGATTGCAGATTTGGTCCAGGCATGTGTGGGAGGCAACCAATCCATGTGTCTCTCTCATATTGATATTCCCACCCCCCCTTCCACTCTTATCTAAAAAAAATAAATAACCTTGGGTGAGAATTAAAAACAAAACCTTTATACTATACAAATAAAAATATTACTACTATGTAACTCCCCCTCGACTCTTTAAAAATTAAATGGCTCTTTATATGTAAATTGAGTTCCTATGTATTTTATTTTATTTTTTCCTTTATTGATTTTAGAGAGAGAGGAAGGGAGAGGGACAGAGAGATAGAAACATTGAGGAGAAGAACACTGACTAGCCATCTCCTGCATGCCTCTCACTGGGGATTAGGCCCACAACCTGAGCATGTGCCCTGACCGAGAATCAAACTGGCAACCTCTTGGTGCATGGGTTGATGCTTAACCACTGAGCAACACCAGCCAGGCCCTATGTGTTTTGAAAAGACAGGGCAAAACACCACCAGTTAAAAAAATTACTTCTCCTACTCTGAGAACCTTGAAGATTTAGAATGTTTCTATCATGGTTACAAATGATAGTGTTATAATCTGTTCTCCAAAATACTGAATGCACATTTCCTAACCACTGGTTTAATTTTGTTTTAATTAAAACAAATTAATGATAACTAAGGTAAATGCAATTTTTACAAGTAAAGTCCTAACAAGTATTTAAATAAAAATAAGAAAATTGCCCCAGCCAGATGGCTCAGTTGGTTGGAGTATTGTCCCACACACCAAAGGTTGCAGGTTCAATCTCCAGTCAGGGCATGTACAGGAGGTAAGTGGTAGATGTTTCCTGCCCCTCTCCCATCCCCACCTCCCTCTCTCTAAAAACCAATAAATATATCTTCAGGTGAAGATTTGAGGCTTTTAAAAATCATCATCCAAGGAGGATGTACTTATATTTTGACTCCATGAAATTCCCTAAATGTCCTATTTTTATTATTATGGTAAACAGCTAAACATAGTCCATGTGTACAATTTATTTAATACACTGAATAAAGTTGGGAAACAGCCCTAGACACTCACAAAGTTTACCATATACAACAGATACTAGTACATAGCTAGTATTTGGCATTAAATGCCTGGGAGGATGTTAGAAAACATGATTTCTAAGTACTTACTTGTGATGGCTACTGCTGTGACGATGGTGATGGTGATGGTGATGGTGGTGATGATGCTTTGAATGATGCTGGTCTTTCTCCGGAAGAGATGAAGATGATGAATTTGAATGCGAAGATCCTAGGCTCTTCCTTTGTTCTTTTGTCTTCTGTAAGACTCTTTTGTATGATAAAGTACAGAGCCAGCATAATAACTTTCCATCAACCTTTTTTAAAAAAAAATTTGTATTAGATTAAATAAGTGAAACCAGGTAACATAAAATGCTCAACTTCTATATTCCTCTCTGTCTCTGTCTTTCTGTCTCTCTCTCTGTCTTTCTGTCTCTCTCTCTCTCTCTCTCTCTCACAAACACACACACACACTGTTGCAAAATAGAAGTAAAATAAGACTTTCCTGAAATTTAGGGAAATGCTTGTTTGGAGTCATAAAATTAGTGAGGATGACATATAGACTTCCATTAGTTTTGAGGCACTTTTCTACTTTGGAGAAACTTATTTTCTTATTACTTTGAAAATAAGAACAAATTGATGATATATTTCAAAGAAATATTACCGAAGCACTAGTTTCAATTCTTAAATCACTATGTAATTACTAAAACCACAAAGTATTTTCCATTATAGTAAAAATTGTTAATTTATACAAAAAAAGGAGAGCCTAAATGACATATACAGTTGATTCTCATTATTCATAGATTTCATATCTGTAAATTCATCACTTACTTGCTAAAATTTATCTGTAACCCCAAAATCACCTTGCAGCAATTTCATGATCATTCACACATATGCAGAGCAGCAAACAATTTGTGTAGCTGAATGGCAGACCTTCCTAACTCAGTTGATCAAGGTGACACTCTGCGCATTCTTCAGGCTCTCATTTTGTAAACAAGTGCCCTTCTCATGATCTACTAGTGCTATGTTTTTTTTGCATTTTGTGGTTTTTATCAGTAATTTCACTGTTTAAAATGGTTCCCAGGTGTAGTGAAGTGATGTGTAGTGTTCCTAAGCACAAGAAGGCTGTGATGTACCGTATATAGAAAATACTTGTGTTAGATAAGCTTCATTCAGGCATAGTTATAATGCTGTTTGCTATGAATACAATTTAACTAATCAACAATTATAAAGTGTCTTTAAACAGAAACATATACAAAACAAAACAAGATTATGTACTGATTTAATGTGACCAGAGGCAAAAACCTAACCCTGTAATTGCTCTTAGGAGCAATAATTCAATATTTAGTAATTCAAAGTTTGCAGCAACTTTATGGAATATAACTATGAAGAATGATGAGAATCAATTGTACCTGTCAAGGATGAGGAAAAGAGACTTCTTTCCAAAACTATTAAGACTAAACCTATAAAAATAAATTTAAGTTTCTAGCTTCTACTTATTCACCCAAAAAGTGCTGGAGGGACATTTCTTACAACTAGTGTACATATATTGCTGTGGGAGCAGCTAGGGGAGCTCCTCAAAGAGTCACCTTCGAAATCAACTGAAATTAAAAGACAACAGGAGGCCTGTGTGAATGCTGATCAGCAGAGGAATGCCCCATGCATAGACATACTTTTTAAGTCACTGTAGGTAGAGAAAAGCAATAATTTAAAACATGAGCCCCAAATCAAAAGGCACAAGACTTTCAATTATACATGTTAATGTGCCATCAGGTAGTTCTTTATACCACTAACTTCAAATAAGCAAAAGGTAAGTGGCTGAAAGGACTTAAAAGCATTAATTCTCCAAACCAATTGTTAGATAACCAAGAAGTACAGAATAGCCATCACAGAATATTTTTTTAAAGTACAGAAATCTCAATTGATTAATATGAATCTACATATGATATAAAGAAGGAGAAAATGCACTGTTCCTGGACTTTAACTACCTGGTTTCGGGGACCCAAAGAATACATCAAGTCTCAGAAGTGTATTTATTATGACTTCCGATTTGTTTGGTGTAAATTTCTAGAATATGTCATAACATAAATAAAACACACCTTTCTTCTTCCTTCCTCCTTTCGATCAAAAGCACATTGTTGTTTGCACTGTTCACAGGTCTGAGGTGGTCCATATTTTTTTTCTGAATTTGTGCAACGCTGACACTTCGTACCAATAAATGCTGCAATTATATTACAGTACTGACAAGGCTTAGGCTGAAAAAGATATATATTTTTCTTAACCAAGACATTTAAAAATTTGCTGCATAAAATATACCCAGCGTATTGACATATTTCTGGAATTAAAAAAACTAACTGGCAAACATTTTTTATTTTTTTGTCAAATACAGGAAGTCCTCAGTTAACATCATTGATAGGTTCTATAACTTTAAGCAAAATGATGTATACTGAAACCAATTTTACCTTATGGTAAATGTCATATTCAATGACATTCATAATGTTTTATTGTTTATAATGTTTCCATTTATTTAGTAAAATCTATTTCTAGTTATGAAACTTCTTGTTACTCTATTAAATAGTTAAAAAGATGAGAAACACTTATGATTTGCAATCCTGTTATATAATACAAAAGTTTCAAGGGTAAAAGGTCTTAAATAAAGGCACACATTGGTAGAAAATTGTCATGTATCCAGGATTTGGGGGATAAGCTTCTACTAATTTAATATCCTGGTTAGCTTAATCACTATACCATTTATTCAAAAAAACATTTAACAAATTTTCATCATATACAAGTACAGATGAATCAAGGAATATTTATTATAGGTGAGTTTTCAACTTTCAAAAATTGGCATAAGAATACCCTGATTTTCTCTGATAGTAAAAAGACAATTCAGGATTTTACAGAGCCTTAAGGCCAATACTTTGACTAACCATGACTGTAATAGGCCAATAATGACTATAACATCCATGTAAGAAGACAATTTGTACTAGAATAATGTCATGACTTTTGTGAATGCCTGAATTGTGCTGCTATATAAAAATTGTTGGAGGTTCTGAAGAAGGGAGAAAAGCAAGATTATGCAAACTTTAATGATAAATAGGTTCTCCATAATCAAGAGTTTGTTATATTTGAAACTATAATGAATAAAATTTACCCTGTATTTCAATATATATAAAACATGCAGCCCTGGCCAGTTTGGCTCAGCAATTAGAGTTTGGCTCAGCAATTAGAGCGTCGGCCTGTGGTCCGGAGAGACCAGGGTTCGGTTCCCGCTAAGGGCACGTACTTCGGTTGCAGTTTGTCCCCGGCCCTGGTTGGTCGTGCGGGTGGCAGCCACTCGATGTGTCCCTTCACGTCGATGTTTCTCACTCTCTCTCCCTTCCTCTCTCTCCCTCCCATTCTATCTGTACAAAAAATGGAAAAATATCCTCGGGTGAGGATAAAAAAATAAAAAAAAAAAAAAACATGCACATTACTAGTTTTAAATGTTATCTTCCCCATAGACTGTCTATAGAAAACTTATTTCCTAAAATGTTTTGACATGTTGAAATATTTACAAACATAGCAAGGTCCAATTTTGTGGAAAAAAACATTAACTGACCAGTAACAAAACATGAAACAAAAATATACGACATACTTACTGTGCCAAATTGCTTCACATTTTGAGCACACTTCTTACAAATTGTATTAGTTTTGCTGAAAAGGAAATTATAGGTGATCAAATGTATGTAGCTTTCTGAGGGAGTTAGCATGATGTAGAAATAAAGCAGATAAAGAGTATGACTTGCTTTAGTAGTATTTAAAACTCACTCTAATAAAAACCAGTAATTAAAAGAAATACAAACATAAGAATCTTTTTAGGGTTGTCTATTATTCAACTTTACTCCTCTTCCATTAACTTAAGTGATTGGTGTGCCACAAGAGTTTTTAAAACATGCAATACCTGACAACTAAGTCAGGGGCACTGACCTCTTTTCCCTTAAGATTGTCATATAAAAAATAAAAAATAACAGCCAACCCAACAATAGCTATCCAGTGTGAATGAATCAAAATAATACTTATTTTTTTTGTCACACTGACAAACAATATACTTTGTTATGCTGTAGAAGTTTGCCATAAGATGAAAAAGGATGAAAATCACCGACTTAAAATAAATGTTTTTTATACATTTTCATTGTCCATTATTGGTAAACAAAGAGTCTTAACGTTTTGTAAATTGTTGCAAAATCTTCATACTTCCCAGTATTTATACACAGCATTACAAATCAGTGCCTACCTAACTTTCCACTGGGCCTTCTCCACTATTATCATGCCAACACCAATTTATGAAGAAATGACTTGTTCTTCTCCTAGGTTACTCTCCTGTGTAATTTTCTAACAGGAACCACTCTATTAAAAAGTACTAGATTTCACTCTTAGAAGCTCTTGTGGCACACCAATCACTTAAGTTAACACTACAGACCTTCCCTCAGGTCTATGTCAGCATTATTGCTGTAGCATTTTTTTAGCTTAATCGCACCTGCTTATATTTGAATTTTTTTTTTTAGCAAGGCTATACATTTTCCATATAATAATTTATTTCCTCATGTTCAAACTGAAGTCTAGATGTAAAATAACTTACTTTTTTATCAACATTCTCTCTTCTACCATGTCTAAAAGGCTTACAACTTAAAATTTAAGAAGTTAAACTTTTTTAAAAAATACTTTAATACAAACAAGGAGTTACAACCCCCAAGTATTTGTTATATACAATATTTTGTCTTTAACAGTCAAAAACTGTTCAGTATACAAACCTTTCTTGTTGAAATTCTGATCTGCAATAAGTACATTTTACAATAGGATGCGCAATCCGACATTCCTGTAATAAGACAGTGAATCAATCAGTATCTATCTCAAAGGCCCAAGTTCACTTTTCAGGTTTAAAATTATTACCTAACCTAGTCAATGTCTAAAACATTAATAAAATCTGTCCCTCAACATAGACAATTGGGTGATTTATCACACAAGTGGTGTAATTCCTTAGGGAAGTCATAAGTGTCTTTGTTTTTATTAGATGTGGGGGGTATGCTACTGATAAATTAAGAAAGCTGTCAGGGTCGATTTCAAGCACTGGTTAAATGTGAAACTACTTATTATTTTGCACCGTTGCTCACAGACAGCATCCCGGCTTTAATGGGATGGAAGGAGCTCCAAATCAGAGCATTCTGTTCCCAAGCCAGTCGCTTCGCTTTCCTGGACAGGGAAGAAGGATGCCATCAGCTTTGCTGCTTCAGGTTCCTAGCAAGAAAGTGCAAAAACCGTCCCCTGCCTCCCAGTGGAAGAAGAGGGCAGACCAGACCAAAAAAAAAAAAAAAAACGAGATGAAAACATCTCCATCCCAGGGTCTCTGCGGCATAGACAGGTGGCTGTCTCAGTCGGCCCCACCCCTGAGACCCCTGAATGTTGTTGGGGCCCGGACCCCTTCTGGGCCACCTGGAAGAGGGCAGGATTCTGTCTTCCTCTCAGGGGCCTTTCCCAGCTGTTGCCCAGGTCATCCAATTAAGGGGTCCCCTGGCGAGGGGACGAGGGCTCCAAAGCCCCTAGGCGCCAGCAAAGAGAGCGGGGCTGCAGTGCAGCGGGCACCCAGCTCCCTCGGGCTACGGCCGAGGAAACCCCGCCCGCCCATCGCCCAGCGCCCACGGACCTTGCAGAGTTGCTGGCCCTGGGAGAGCTCCTCGAATGGATAGCGCTGGGTACACTTGGTGCAGGCGTACAGGGCCGAGGCCGCCATCCTGCTCCTCAGTCTCCTCCTCCACCGCCGCCCGCTCCGAGGCGGGGCCCTACGGGGAAGTCGGGCGCCGCCGCCGCCCGGCCGCGGGCTCCTCCTCCTCCCCCTCCCCCTACCTCGCGCCCACCAGGGCCTGGTCCAGATATCCCCAGTCCCTGTGGACGCCGCCGTCTCCCTCCGCCTCCACTTCCGCCCCAGCCCGCCCAGTGACGCCGTCCCAGCAGCTCCCGCTTAGGCCCCGACAGCGGCGGAGGGAGACGAAGCGAGTAGTTCGCTGCAGTTTAGCTGCGCGGCAGCGGATCCGCTTCCTCCTTGGCCTCCTTTCCCCATCCCTGATTAGCTGGGGAAGCTACTGCGTCACTCGGCCGCTCCTCCCAACCCCTAACCCCGGCTACGCAGGGAGCTCCCACAAAGGGAGGAAGTCGGCGGCCAATAACAACCCGACGCTCTAGGCGCGGGAAAGCCGCTTCAAACTCGCCCCGCCCACAGGCCCCGGTCGCGGCTATTTCCAGCAGCCAGTCTCGGGCTTGGCTGAGAGCTCCCCCATCCAATTGGGCAAGTGTTCGCGAAGGTTTCCTCTCTGCCGCAACTCCTTTTCCCTGGCCTTGTATTGGACCAGATCATTAAGCCCCTCCTCGCTCTACTTGTTATTGGCCAAAAGGTGAGTACTTCACCTGGAAACGCGTCCCGGAGTCTAGCAAACGCTCTCCTTGGCGTTTAGTCCAAGAGAACTGGTGGAGTGTTAGAACTTCGCGTTCGCTTTAATTTATATCAATCATTCGATTCAGCTGCCTCAGGAGACAAGACAGGCCCTCGTCTGCATTTCCTCCAGGAGAAAGCCCGCCCTCCGTAGAATGCCGTCCGAGCTGTCTAGTAGTCCACATCGTTACCCGCCTCGGCGTTCCTGGCTACGCGCTACCTTGTGACGTCACCAAGGGAAGAGGCGGCTTCGCTCCTACTACCGGAAGACGTCCGCCTTTTTGATTGGCTACTCAAGACGCCCGTTAGTACGTGTTGCCCTTTCCATGCGCGCTCTGAGCGTGGGCGTCCCTGTGGGGGTGTGTGGTAGGGGTTTCTAAACCCGGCACCAGCACCCTAGCCCCTTCCATCTGGGGCTCGGCTTAGGGTCGCCCCTGGCGGGCGGCTCTCGAATCTGGAAGAAGAGCACGAGAACCCGGACCGCTCCGCAGGGCCGCTGGGCAGACAGGAAGATGGCGGCAGCATCGGTCTCTGCGACTTCTGGTTCTCAGTTCACGGTAAGAAGCGGTTGACATTCGAATAGGCCCCAGGTCGGTGCTGGAGCCTCTTTGATTTTCCTCATCCTTTAGAGCGCTCTCGGCCGGGGGTTTCACCTCATCCTGGGAAACCGCGGAGGGTGCCTAGAGCCCCCCGTGCTACCCCGTCGTCCCCCACTCTTCCGTCGAGGTTGCACCCTTCCATTGAAGCAGGCCTGGCCCGTCTCCATCTCCTACCTTTAAAGGCCCCCTTACCTTTAATCCGCTGGGATGACTGCACCCATATCCTGGTTTGCGAAAACATTGCTCCTTTGGTCACGTGAGTGTAACGGCTCTACTAGGAATCTTGCCCAAACCTGGTAAGCGCCCTGGTCGGCTTAATGGGCAGCAGTTGAGTGGTCTGCAATCTGGAGTGCATACCAGTCCTTACTTAAGCTGATTCCTTGGACTGCAGTGCCTCCCCTTCCCATCCAATCAGTAGTAACTTTGCTCTTTGCTTGTCCTGCCCAGAGCTGCACTTCCTACCTTCCACCTTATTATTGACTGCAACGTGTAAATGCCGCTTTATAGAAAGGACACGGGGAGCTGATCTTAATTATTGTTTTTGCCTTCACAAGGGCCACCGGCCAGTTAGGTCACTAGTGTTTATGGAGGTGGAATGTCGAACATTTAGCATTTTGGAAAGGGCCGCCTTGGCAATACTGTAGATAAGCAGTAAATGTGAGGAGGCCCAAGTTAGAGCCAGTATCTCTTTATTAGCAAATGCTGAGTACCTCGCATACTTCTAGGCTATAAGAATACACAGATTAAATAGGATAGAATCCCTGCTCGGAAGGAGCAAAGCACTGAGGAGAAACTGCACGTAATTGGATCATTACACTGAAGATAAATGCTACCATACTGGAACCTAGGGAAGAGTGCTTAGTTAGGCTAAAGATATTTTCCTAGAAGGGAAGATGGAGCAAGCTGAATAATGAAGGAATTCTAAATGCTTGTTGCGAGAACAGAAAAGGAAAGAGAAAAAGACACCACAGGCATTTGGGGTATGTGCCAGGATAGTAGGTGCTTTCATTAAACTTGAAGTAAATTAGGATGAGCACACAGAGGTGAGGGGGAGGGGTAGAGTTGTATTTAGATGAATTATAAAAGTAGTTAAAAAATACATGAAGAATCCGGCCGGTGTAGCTCAGTGGTTCAGCATCGACCCATGCACCAAGATGTCTCCAGTTCGGTTCCCAGTCAGGGTGCATACCCAGGTTCTGGGCCCAATCTTCAGTGGGGGGCATGCAGGAGGTGGCCATTCGATGTTCTCTCTCATCGATGTTTCTGTCTCTCCTCCCTTCTTCTTTCTCTCCCTCTCTTTAAAATCAATAAAGATAAAAAATAAAAAAACATGAAGAAAGGAGAATAGTGAAGGAAGAAGACAGAAGTATTAGGGTAAAGTTATATCATAGAAGCTAATGGGGGAAAGTGTTTAAGGAACAGTGATAGAGAGCATTCACCTTAATAAACACAGTTTTTCTTAGTTTAAGGTTTTGGTGATTATTGTTAGGATCTATGTTAATGAGGCCAGAAATAACCTTCAGGATATTTCAGCAAAATGATGGAGGTCAGGGAAGATTGAGGAGAAAAAAATGACTGAGACAATTGGAATTCAATCAGGAATTAGATCAGTAAAAAGGAATATAACAGAGGAACCATTAGACTATTAGGAAGAAGTGTAAATAGATGGATGAGATTATATAAGAATTGTGTCTAATTAAAGTTAATTGTGACAAGAGGGCTTTTCTTTTTCTTTTTTAATTTATTTTTTAATTTTATTTTTGTTAAGGATGTTTCTCCTTTTTTACCTCCTTGGCACCCTCCTCTCCATCCCCCTGCCCCATCCGCGGCTTTGTTGTCCATGTCCATTGGCTATGCATACATGCATATAAGTTCTGTGCTTTATCTCTTCCCACCCCCACCACCCCCTCTTCTGAGGGTTGTTAGTCTATACCCTACTTCCATGTTTCTGGGTCTACCGTATTCCTCAGACTGTTATGTTCATTATATTCCGTATATAAGTGAGATCATGTGGTATTTGTCTTTTCCTGCTTGGCTTGTTTCACTTAGGATAATACTTTCCAGGTCCCTCCATGTCATCTCAAAGGATAAGAGATCTTTTTTTCTTACAGCTGCATAGTACTCCATTGTGTATATATACCACTGCTTTTTTATCTATTCGTCTACTGATGGACACTTGGGCTGTTTCCAGATCTTAGCTATTGTAAATGGTGCTGCTACAAACATGGGGGTACATATATTCTTTCTGATTGGTGTTTCAGGCTTCTTAGGGTATATTCCTAGAAACGGGATCAGTGGGTCAAATGGAAGTTCAATTTTTAATTTTTTGAGGTAACACCATATTGTTTTCCATAGTGGCTGCACCAGTCTGCATTCCCACGAGCAGTGTACTAGAGTCCCCTTTTCTCCACACCCTCGCCAACACTTGTTGTTCAGTGATTTGTTGATGGCTTCCATTCTGACAGGTGTGAGGTGATACCTCATTGTTGTTTTAATTTGCATCTCTCTGATCATTAGTGATGTTGAGCATTTCTTCATATGTCTCTTGGCCATTTGTATGTCCTGTTTGGAGAGGTGTCTATTTAGCTCCTCTGCCCATTTTTTAATTGGGTTCTTTGTCTTTCTTTGTTGAGTTGTATGAGCACTCTATATATTTTGGAAATTAACCCCTTATGTGATGTATCATTGGCAATGATGTTCTCCCATGCAGTGGGTCACCTTTCCATTTTGATGACTGTTTCTTTTGCTGTGAAGAAGCTTTTGAGTTTGATGTAGTCCCATGTGTTCCTTTTCTCCTTTGTTTCTATTGCCTTAGGTGCTGTATTAGTGAAAATTCTGCTGCGTATGATCTCCGAAATTTTGTTGCTTACATTTTCTTCTAGGATTTTTATGGATTTATGGGTCACATTTAATTCTTTCATCCATTTTGAGTTTATTCTTGTGTATGGTGTAAGATGATGGTCTAGTTTCATTTTTTGCATGTAGCTGTCCAATTTTCCCAACACCATTTATTAAAGAGGCTGTCTTTACTCCACTGTATGCTCTTGCCACCTTTGTCAAATATTAATTGAGCGTATTGCCTTGGATCCATTTCTGGGTTCTCTGTTCTGTTCCACTGGTCTATATGCCTGTTCTTGTGCCAGTACCAGGCTGTTTTGATTACAGTCGCTTTGTAGTATAACCTGATATCTGGTATTGTGATCCCACCTACTTTGTCCTTCTTTTTCAAGATTGCTGTGGCTATTCAGGGACTTTTTTGGTTCCATATGAACTTTTGAAGTATTTGTTCTAGTTCTGTGAAATATGTCGTTGGTATTTTGATGGGGATTGCATTGAATCTATAGATTGCTTTGGGTAGTATGGACATTTTAATGATGTTAATTCTTCCACTTCATGAACAAGGTATGTGCTTCCATTTTTTTTGTATCTTCCTCTATTTCTTTTTTCAATGTCCTGTAGTTTTCTGCAAATAGGTCCTTTATCTTTGGTTAAGTTTATTCCTAGGTATGTTAATTTTTTTGCCACGATGGTAAATGGGATTGTTTTTTGTTTCTCTTTCTGTGAGTTCATCATTGATGTACAAGAATGCCGTCGATTTCTTGACGTTAATTTTGTATCCTGCTACTTTGCCAAATGCATTTATTAAGTCTAGTAGATTTTTGCTCGAGTCTTTAGGGTTTTCTATGTATAATATGATGTCATCTGCAAATAATGACAGTTTCACTTCCTCCTTTCCAATTTGGATCCCTTTTATTTTTTCTTCATGTCTGATTGCTGTGGCTGAGACTTCCAGTACTATGTTAAATAAGAGTGGCGAAAGTGGGCATCCCTGTCTTGTTCCTGTTCTTAAGAGAAATGTTTTTGTTTTCTGCCCATTGAGTATGATGTTGGCTGTAGGTCTTTCATATATGGCCTTTATTATGTCGAGATATGATCCCTCTATTCCTACATTGCTGAGCGTTTTTATCAGAAATGGATGCTGGATTTTGTGGAATGGTTTTTCAGCATCTATTGATATGATCATGTATTTTTTATTCTTAATTTTGTTTATGTGGTATATCACAGTTATTGATTTGAGAATATTGTACCAGCCTTGCGTCCCTGGAATGAATCCCACTTGGTCGTGGTGAATAATTTTTTTGATGTATTTCTGGATACGATTTGCTAATATTTTGTTCAGGATTTTGGCGTCTATGTTCATCAGGGATATTGGCCTGGAGTTTTCTTTCTTTGTAGTGTCCTTTTCTGGTTTTGGAATTAGAATTATGCTAGCCTCATAGAACGTGTTTGGAAGTCTTCCTTCTTCTTGAACTTTTTGAAATAGTTTGAGGAGAATGGGTATTAGTTCTTTTTTGAATGTTTGGTAAAACTCTCCCGTGAAGCCATCTGGGCGTGGGCTTTTGTTTGCTGGGAGAGTCCTCATTACCTCTTCAATTTCCTTAGTTGTTATTGGTCTGTTCAAGTTTTCTATCTCTTCCTGGTCCAGCTTTAGGAGACTGTGTTTCCAGAAATTTGTCCATTTCACTTAGATTGTCAAATTTGTTGCCATATAGTTGTTCATAGTAGCTGTTAATGATCTTTTGTATTTCTGTGGTGTCAGTTGTTACTTCTCCTCTTTCATTTCTGATTTTGTGTAATTTGGGTTCTCTCTCTTTGTTTCTTGGTGAGTCTAGCTAAGGGTCCATCAATCTTGTTTCTCTTTTTGAAAAACCAACCTTTTGTTCCATTGATCCTTTGAATTGTTGTTTTGGTCTCTGTCATTTATTTCTGCTCTGACCTTTACTATTTCCTTCCTTCTACTTACTCTTTGGTTTTCTTTTTGTTTGCTCTCTAGTTCTTTAAGTTATGAGGTTAGACAGTCAATTACAAATTTTTCTTGTTTCTTGAGGTCGGCCAATAGTGCTATGAACTTCCTTCTCAGAACTGCTTTCGCTACATCCCATAGATTTTGTGTTGTT